CCGTGCTAGATTACGGGAGTATGTGCGTGCACCGAGGTATTCATGATCTAGATAGTCTTAGGTTATTATGTACCTTATTTTGCTATCATGCTTCTTTGATATCATGTTTTCTCCATTTATATGACTACATGAGATATTATTCATGCTAGAAATCATGTCTAGGACACCTGCTTAATTGTTTGAGACATGATAGGGCTATTTTCGCCCTGTTGAGCTATTTGGCTTAGCCGTAGTCATATTGTATAGCCATGATAATTACATCTACATGTTATATATCAGTCTTTGTGAACTTTTGATATGTTGTCTCACATGTTATTGGTGTCCTTGTACGTGACGCAAGATTGAGCTGTATTTGAGGTACATTGTGATATTCCATGTTATATAATTGGATTATGTTTCTATAAGATGTTGGTATATGGAGACTTGAGCGGATTGATGACTGATGTGGGTCATATAGCCGTGTGGTGAGTTATGTTGGATCAGGTTGCACGCCACAACAACTATATTAATATTAAGGTGACGTGTATGTTGGTACCCATACTGGGAAGTAGTATTGATTTTGAGGCTACGCGTGCACCAGGCCCCACGATTGGGCTATGTGATATTGATTAGTGCTTGGTCCAGGATCCTCCCCTCCGAAGCCTGACATGCAAGTAGTGAACGCATGCATAGTGATATATACACGTGCTTTGGTGAGGGGCATTTATGCCAGGCACCGGTACAATGCTGAATGTAGTTATGTGTGATGATGAGGGGCCTTGTGTCAGGCACTGTGAGCATCCTAAGTGTTATTATTCTTGATGGTTTCACTATGATGATATTGAGTTGAAATGTATATTTGACATATAGGCATAGAGATATATATTTCCTTATGCTAGATGGTAATATGAAATTTAATGGCCTGACATGTATAATTAACATGTAGGCATAGAGATAGTGTTTTTCTCCTGGTAATTGGTAAACGAAAAGCCTTATTTGGTGTTGGAAATTGGAAAAAATATAGTTCTTTTGATAAACTCATGTAAAAAATAATTTTTAGTGGTAAGATTTGTACTGTGACTGTTATACTTGAAAAGCATATCTATTTTTCTGTAACTGTGAACAAGCGGAGCATAATATCTCTTAAGTTATTTATTTTTACTGTCTTCATTATATTATTACGATTTTTTTTTGCTATTGTGTTGGACTCTGACCATCTTTCGAGCTTGCCACTGCTTTCAACTAGATCTTGGAGTTGATGCTGTTGTGTATGGCGGGAGATGGTATTAAAGATGTACCTGCTTCCCGGATATAGCTACCATTTGTACTTGATTGTTTTAGAGATTTATTCTATTTATGTATATTCCCGATAGATGTATAATTATTTTCATACCAGCTTTGTAAATCTAAGTCTTAGAGACTCATGACTTGTACTACCAATCCTCGGGTTATTGTATAAAAACTCAGTTATTCCATTTATTGATTCGTATTGTCACATTTGAGTTAAGTTGACGGTTGTTTGGCTTAACTAGCAGGTTGAGCTAGGTATCATCACGACTTGATGGATTTTGGATCGTGACAACTATGAGCACCACTATAAAGGGAGTGAATCTGGTGTTTAATACTTAAACTTTGGGTGAGATTCTGAGTGTTCTGGTGAAGGTCTTGACACTTATGTCAATGAGAGTGTCTAATACTTGAAGAACAAGAAGATGACAAGTACTTGACTATCAAGTATCCACAAGGAACAGAGATAAAGAAGCCTAGAAAGTGTTTTAAGGTGAGATAAGGGCAATTCACAAAATGTTATTTTAATTTGTATGTGAACAAATATGTGCTACCAAGATTTGACAGGATGCATGAGGCTACTTACATGGATTTAGATGTGATAGAAGTGCTTGATCAGAATAAGTTGCTGAATCTGCCTTCAGTGCCGGCTCAAGCCTACACTTGCTTTAGGCCCCCATTAATTTAAGGCCTCCATTAATTTAAGGCCTCAAAATTAGTATTACTATATAAAAAAATTTTAAAAAATATGTATGACTAATTTGTTATCATTAGTAAATGCAGTAATTATTCAGTCACATATATCCTATACTTAAAACTATTCCAGTTCGTTTATTTTTCTTCACACAAATCACATGCTTTTAGGTTCTCATATTTTAATTGGGAGGCAGTCAAGCCAACTAGTGATTAAAAAGAAAAAAAAATGCAGTATTTTTTTTCTTTCTTCAATCTTCCGCTAATTCAATTCTTGTCCTTCATAAAATCAAATTCTCTTTTTTCTTTCCTCATACTCATCTATCTATTCTGGCAAATAACATGGGTATTGAATAATTTGAGTTGCATAATTATCTTTTTTGTTCTTCCTCACATTATATAAAAAAATTTATTGAATATATCTTAGGCCTCTTTGTTTGGCTTTCGGCCATCATATAGATTGAGCCGCCTCTGTCTGCCTTCGACAAGAATCAAGCATATGAGGGTGGTCGATACTTCAAAGGGGGATCACGCTTTGCCATATGGGTTTTTGCTCTCTTTGGTGTTTGCCTAGAGGAATGTAGTACCTTAAGTCCAATTATGAACTACTATTTTTTTGTAATTTGATGGTTTAATCTTTCTTTTTGTGAAATTTTAATCAGGTTATTGTAAACTTTTGTTGATTTTTTCCTAAGAGGCATAATATGGTATATAAATGAATTTTCATATTTTTTATTTGATGAATCTCTTAAGATGGCAAACAAGCTTAGATTAAATATTTGAGCTCCTGATTATGTGCATGTCAGTGTAGCCCCAGTAATCATGAGTTTGATATTGCTTAATCCGCCACTTTTGACTCATTGCTTAATCCGCCACTTTTGACTCTTATCATTAATGCTTTATTTTTTGATAATTCCAAAAGGAGAAGGTAAGATTGTGCACACAATGCTGATCAACGGACCTAGTCCCTACTCATCTATTTTGATAATTGTAAAGTTGACTGTGTTTAAAGGGTTTTTGCAAGAACATATTGATAGTTTAATCTGATTCTTATGTTGAGTTGCACATACGTTAGCCATCATCAAAAAGCGAGAATTTATTGAGTTGAGTTTTAAATTGATTTTGATGATTAACGAACCATGATCGACGAACCATGTCCCTTGAAGATATTTAATGTGCTAATAAATAGGGTTGATGACTTGTCAAGCAGATGTCAAGAACTAGTCCGTTGATGAACGTTGATTCGGAGCTGCAGACTGATTCCTAATTCAAGTAGAATTCTTCGGAGATTTATTTCGTGGGCTATAAGTATTATACAAGCTAGAAGAATTCGTCTTCTACAAGGATTCATATAGGAATACTTTCATGGAAGTAAAGGTGTGTAAATTTAGAGATATTTAAGGAAATCAAGTCCTATTGGAATTTTTTTCCTTAAACGATTTATTCTAGATTTTGAAACAAAAGAAGAAAATTTTGGCCCAACTTCGTGCCTATATAAAGCATCACAATGTTTTTATTGCCTCCAATGCTATTTTGCAAAAACACAGCAAATTGCTCTTAACAAATACCAATTATAGCAAGAAGGTGCTCTCAAGAATTCAAGCCGCACAAGTGAAGAACCTAGTTTGAAAATGAAGTTGTCTAGTTCTTTAGTTATTGAGTCTTGATTCATTGTTCTTTAGTTGTAACTTGTTCTGCTTTTGAAAAGTGTATTTGTAGGTTATCAAATTTTGTGAATTTATTTTGAAATTCAAGGGTAGAGTTAGCTATAATTGGATTAATTGTATGGGTTAAGATGCTAGAGTTTATAGTCTCTTTGATTATTGAGTTGTAACCTAAAACATCTATTGTTCTTAGTGCAGTTTTGAGAAAAATAGATCGTGATTTCTACGCCCATGAACAATGAGGTTTTCCATATAAAATTGCTTGTGTTCTTTAAATTCAACACTTTACATTCAGTTTAGCGAAAATCGGGAAATTCAACCCATCTTGTGTATAGGCACTATAAATTAACAATCTCAAATTTTGAAATCACAGAATATCTTAATTTTGTGGAAAAGGAAATAGGACAGGGAAAAGGATTTTCAAGAGAGAGTTGCAAAAACTTTTTGAACCAAACATACTATTAGGGGAAGTCTGCTAGTATATAATCTTTCTTTACAATATAGCTTTTATAGACACAAGATTAGAAAATTGGTATAACCATGATGGTAAGGTAAATCATAGTTGCCGGAGAATATAATATGAGTCATTCTCTTTAGAATAATTAGGTTGAAACAAAAATGTGATAAGGGACATTATTTCAGACAGTTAATCAAAGGTGATATATGTATTTAATCTCTGACTGCAATGCATGTAGTTGGAGGGTTAATTTTGATTGCCTCCTAAATCCATTTTCCAAGTAGAGAAAAGCGGATTCACTCAAAATAAGGAAAAGAAAGGAACAGTGCTAAGAGGTAGAAGTGCAAGAAAGTAATTTTGTAATACACAAGTTGAACACTACGTGCAATGCAAATAAATATGCAATTGTCAATATCTCAGTATCTTCAAGTGTAAAAACCTTGAGTTGTTACTCACAGTGAAACTAAGTATTATTACCAATCACTTCAGTCTTCACTCAGTGACTTGCTTGACTTGCTTTTTGATGTCGTCAACCTTTCCTAATGTTTAGTAAAACAATCTTGAAACTCCAACCGTTCATATTTATGTTGTTGATGATTTGGTCATCGCAGATACTCAGTCAAGTTCAAGTATTAGCAAAAGGAAATGGCATGTTGTAAGGAGAGATGGTGGTGCTGCACTTTGCCTCCTAATAATTGTTAGTGTGATTTAGCAAAAGATACACTTTTATATGCCAGCTTTGATCCTTTATCCTGCACAATAGTATGTCAATCACGTTCAAGCTTATCATCTTTTCTCATCACTTTGTTTGTCACAGACTCACTCTAAGGAAATATTAGAACAGCCACTCTTAAGTAAGAGGACTTCATCATGATACCCCTTTCCTTACATTTGAAAGGAGGATTTATCACAAATTCTGATAAATAAAAGAAGCTTAGAGTATGATACACATTGGACCAATTCAAGATTACATGATTCTCCATAAAACATGCGTAGCTACACGAAGCGCTTAAAGTTTAGGAATTCAAAAAAGCCATAAATTCATGCTGCGAACATACATTTATAGAAAATGCATCAGCCTGGATCATATAAGAGCTAACCATATTGAGTGAGCGTATGAAGGAATTAAAAAATTCTCCACCATGAAAAGATGATACACTAAGTGGCACCCAAAGCATGCCAAGTTACCCTGTTTTATCTTTCGTATAAGCAGGTAAACTTCCCTCTTCGTTCCTTTTCTCCTGTTGGTAATAAATCAACGGCTCATTGTATCCTTTAGCAATTTGGCATTTGGCATCAGTTTCTTTCACTAACTCTGAGCTAGCTGAGATAGTCACTAGAGAAGAGCAGATGAAATCATCGACAAAATGACAACTTAGCTATGCACTTTGAAGCACGTCAGGTTGGGGAATAACTTAAGCAGTTGATCACGGCTGCGATTCTACAAAGTGATGTACCAGCATAGTAAGAACAATCATATGAATCATGGGGCGATACGAGAAAAATGTGAAAGGTCTCCAGCCGACCAAGTGATAAACTTAGAAAACCTACTGTGCAAACCATATCGAAAGATGAAAGGCTTAATTGGTAATAGCACAATCCAGTTGTTTTCCAACTTTATCACATGCGATTTTATGAGCCAATGTTCTAGGAAACAAAGGTGGTAGCATGGCTGGAGATTCTAAAGATATTCTGTACCTTTATATTGGTGCAGCCATTTACATCAAGGGTTGTAAGTGTATCGGAACAAAAGCTAGAAAGTACCTCCAAGCACTTGTCAGATACCCCAAGTATCCCAAATAAACTGCAGGAGCAGCAAAAAAAAGAAATTAAATAAATATAGCACAATCATATAGCTGGAAGGTCATGAGCTTAGTCCGTTACCGAAATGGGACACCAGTTCATTAATTAATTTTCAAACAAATCTGCAGTCAATAGCAACTATACTTTATGTTTTATTATTGGTTAAGCTGGAGGTCCAATGACTAGGCAAACGTTCAAACATCCAAAAGCAGGACATCCCTATCTCAATTAGTTCATAAAATTGAATATTTGTCAATTTTGTGGAGGTGGTGAAGTAACATATCATAGGCCATCTCCGTCTCCTATTTTTAATGATAATTTTAGGTCCAGATTTACCTTAGGAATTCAAGAGAGCTGCAGCCTTGAGCTATTGCTATGACCCCAACATCAGTGACTCGTACGCACCTGTCAATGCCAATAGATATCAGTCCAAGAACATACTACTATATCTCCTTCTGCTCCAGATGAAAATTAAAATATAACTGTGTTACATACCATGTCAAATTGAGAGACACCAGGTTTTTGCACATGGCTATACAAGAAAGCCCATCATCTGTTAGATTCTGAAGGACAACTTGAGTTAATACAATGTCACATAAACAATTTCATCATTGCACCAAGCAATAGCATAATGCACGGAAAAAAAACAGTTCGCGAGAATGCTGAAGATTATACCTGAGCACCACAGAGATCCAGGAATGTAAGATGAGGCAAAAGAGATATCTTCTTATAAGCTTCATCTGTTAAACTGCAAGTAAGAAAGGAAGCAGCTTGTCTTATTAGGATATCAAACAACACATGCAAATTTGCAGTATATCTTTGAGAGATAGAAAGGTGCATACACACATGACATACAATAAAACGGAAAATATTTTTTTGACAGGTATATCAAAATGAAATAAGTGGTTACGTGGAAAGGGCATAAAGGTTCAAACTCTGAAGAGAAGAGCACTTCAGCAAAAT